TCAACAGGTATCCAGTCAAGTAAGGATACTTCCGCCCGGTGACTTAGCACAATACCAACCCCTGCACATCCCACCGCAGCAGCCTCTGGATCACCAGAGGTGCGTAGGCGGAAGCGAGTGGAGACTGAAAGGGGCGGTTAACTCAATCACCGTGCTTGCATCTTGAATTCTCGTTTCTTAGACACAGCACAAATCAATGCCAAGCAAGTCCAGTGTGAGTGCAAGAGCAGCTTGTTGTCCTGCTTGCTTCAGAGTGCGAACATTGAACGCGGCCAGATAGAGTGGGTGTCGAGGCTTGAGGACTGATTTGGAGATTCCTGAGGATGTCGGCACCATGTGACGAGCAGATGCTGCACGCAAAACCGATGCATGACGAACGGAGTCATCAGTCCTAAGTGCTGGGCCTACAAGGAGAGAGTTATTAATGGGATGGGGAGAGGGGGGAGAAAAAGTGTGTGAAGGAGAAAGAAGGGAGGCGTCAGCAGTAGCCTGTTTTCGCTTACCCGCCCTGCTGTATGCAGCAAGTAAGGCGACCCGGCTGATGGCGCCACGAATCGATACAGTATTTAAACGTATTCAAGACGACAGCCTCGACCTCCACCATGAAGATTGTTAGTTCCCCATTGCAGTCTTCAGGTATCTCAGGTATTTTATATCTGTGGTCGACATCACGATCCCGAGGACATGCGAGCAATTTAGCAGATACCAGCTTCAGACGATGTTTCTACGTTCCGCACCCTTCTGGGTCTTATCAACTACTATTCGGCATTTTTCTCTTCCTTACACAGTGTCCGACAGACACTCAACAGCTTCTGAATAAAGACGTGATCCAAAAGAGACCCCAAGGGGATGTGTCACTACTCACAAAGGTTCCTAATTGCCGAGATATTGTTGTATTGTGTAAAAATCGCAATTTTTATTTTTCGCGCCATGTCCCGCTACCTTGGGCTTTTTTTTCCAAAAGACCGCATTTCTTTCATATTGGCTAGTCGTTTTTTTCCAAAGCATTTCTTTCATATTGGCTAGTCGTTCCCCAAGGTCACCAAAATACGTATTTGGTCGGCTTTGCCTTTGGTTCAGGTAGTGAACGCTTTCCTCTGAAGGTCCGGTCTTCTGCTACTGCGCTAGAAGCAGTTTGGCTGGCGTCGTAGCTGAGTAACAGTGTTGTTATTACACTACCCTTCGCAACGATTCCAGCTTGTCTGGCAGAGTATCAATTTCGCTCGATAGCAGAGACCTTGTGTCTATAACCGGAAAGGAGCCATAGAATTTAAGGCACTGCCAAATCCATTTGGTTTGGATGCTTTTCCAACTGCGGTAGTACTTCATCAAACTCACATTCGTGCAGTTTATTGAATCAAAGGCCACCTGATCAGAAAAAACAGGCTCCACTTTGCTTTCTGTTCCATTCGGAGTACGGAAGTAACGGAATTCCAGTGTTGTTCTACAAATATATTGCAAGTAAGCGGTTCGTAACCACGAGGACGGATAACTGCTTGAAAGTCGAAGTGTGTTTCCGTAGGTGACATACGTTTCAAATATGAGTAAGAATTAAAGGATTCAATGCTTTCGCTAATCATGCGTAGCCATTTAAATTCCAGGCTGGTTGACAATGTTGAATCCATCGAATCATCGATGAAAATCCGTTAGACGAGGCAGAAAGGGCTTTCCAGTCTATTTGGCCTTCCAAGAGTGCGTCGCTTATTGTTAGTGAGCTACATTACACAGAGATGTCTGTCATACTCATTTCCCATGATACCGAAGGTTCGCGACTATCATCCGGCTGAGACAACACCTTAAAACCTCAAGGAGAAGTACCTAAAATCGATAAGGTAGATAGATAAATAAGATAGTAGTATACTGTTTGGTCCTTCAAGCGGATATCTGTCAGTCAATCAAATTCAAATTAATAACCTAAGGAAAATTACTACACCAAGAACGAACTAACTGACACTCTGAGGTTCTGAGTAAGCCTTCCATAAATTTCGCATATAAACAATTGTTCCTTCTCCGACCATCTTCTTCTGTGACTCTCCACTTTATTGGATAATCGGTACAGTTGTCCTGGTTATCACTCTGGAGTCTTCGTATTGGCTCGTGAACCTAACAATCACAACGTAGACTTGATTCACCGTGTCAATACTAACCGGAATAGAGTCAGTGAAAGTAGGTTCACATGAGACTGCAGTTAATCAAGCATACTCAGTTTCTTAGCCTCGTCCAACAATTGATATGTAGGCAACGTCCGTCTGTATTGTGAACAAATATCAGCAACATATCGATCCAGTTGAATGGCCCGTTCTTGGTTTCGCCGTATGTGCGTCATCCATGCTTCCAGCGTGCAGGGACAGGGGAAGGACCAGAGTCAATGAGAGAAGGTACATTCCGTAACAAACTGTTCGATATTTTGACCTGGAACCGAAAAATCCCCTGGACGCAAAGGTTGGGAAGAAAGACATTCGACCACATCACATACGGATTGAGCGTACTCAGCGTGACACCTAAGCGGCTTACAGATATGGTTTTATGTTGTTTTATGTAGAAACTATTGGTTCGAAAGAAACCAAATAGAAATTGAGGGTGGCTTCCAGATGGAAGAATAACTCGCGAAATACACTCATTTGCAAAGTAATTTGGTTTTTTGAGAGACTCATCTGAAACCCAGCTGAATCCCTTGTTTGTGATATCACCAGGCAACTGAATGAGCTGCACCAGGCCGTCTCATGTTTCAGTCGCTAAGATATTCGAGATATCGCGATACATGTATATTCGTACTGCAGTACTCATAAGGTTGCTGAAAATTCGACGACGAAAGAATAACTCGATTTTTTCAGAGGCTATTAGCTGCAAGCCTGGCCGTTCACACCTCTTACTGCTTTATTCGTACTCACTCGACTCACCTGTGTGTGCGCGGCCTTTCAGACCAAACGAAATAGAACATTTTTGTAGGCAAGCATCCAGGAGATGAATTTTAAAAAAGTCAGCAATATGAGATTCCGCCTCACAAGAGTTTGCCAAGTAAAAGATAAAAAAGACAATCGTTAAGCAGTATCACCCTATCAATGTCTAGCTGCCATGTCACCCAAGAGAGGTACGAGGGCTGGGATACTGCCAGGTTGCCCAAGACTAGACAGGGGAAGTCGAGAGGCAGAAATCGGGTTCGAACCACGGACCTGCTGTTACGTAAATTCACGCTCTAACCACCGAGCCATCTCTCCAAGTAGACGTGAATTGATTCCTGGTGTGAATAACTAATCAACAGTTATACTATCTTGACTTTAAGGTACAGTTCTTTTGAGCCTTTTTGAAACGCAAGGTGATCTACTCTGTTAACATCTGGTCAAAATTCCTGCATACGAGTTGGTAATTGGCATATCTCGCTAAATTATCGAAAGCGATACTAAGTGAACAGGTCATACCTAAGTGTCAATTCAGCAGGATATTAGGAAGAACTGGAAATGTGGGAAATTGAGACGTGAACTCAAGCTACACGCTTGACAAGCCCAATTCGGTTATGAGCAGGTAGATTAACGCGTTTTTTTTCTGAAGATTTTGTTCAGCAAACCGATTACGGTTTTCCTAGGCATATGATAATTTGTGTTTATTACAGATTGATTAAACGAGTTTTCACCACACCGGTAGACGAATCGTTTTGTCTGAATCTGAAGCTGGGTTACAATTCTGGTGGCATATTGACTGACTGTTTTGGTTAGGCCTACGACTCGAGCACCACAACCAATGCCACAAAAAAGCTACATGTGCATAGACGAGCATGTGCCTGACGTGATTGCGTAGGTGGTTGGGTGGGCAACTCAAAGCCGAGAAGGGATGAGAGCATAGGCAGCTCGAGGAAATGCATGCCCACACACACACACACATGCACAAGTTCAGCCATTGATACCTATTGTTTTCTCGCTCCGCTTACTCGTTAGTGTCCCCCGTGTTGTGATTGCTTATGTGTGCGTGTGTGCTTAGACGAGCCATAATGTGGTAATATTTGTTTGTTGTCCAAGCTCGTTGTCTCAGATTCTGTTGTGGCCTGGCGTACATGATGAGAACGTGATGAAACGGTGTGTGAGATTAGGCTGACATTAGGCTGGCCAATACTGTTAGGTTCTCAACCAAAATGAACACTTGGTCCAATTTGCGTCAGCATCATTCGAATTCAATGTACTGATGACCTCTTCCACAAACTGTCAGTTTATGTCTGAGAAAGAGTCTGTCAATCTTGTTACAAATACTTTGTCCCGTGGTTGTTCTACTCCAGAAGCTGATCAGAACTCTCCCAGTATCGAGCACAAATCAACTGAGGCTTCAATCAGAACTGACGAAAAGCTGTGTAGTGTTCAGACCGACCTGAATAGTGTCCACAATTGGTGTGAACGTACACTACTTCGACACAGAGAACACTTGGCTTTCGGCCAGCCCGGAGAGAGTCTATCCTCGAGTAGTTTGGAATCGTTCGCCCCTCAACCACAGTCTCCAGACATGGAAGTATTTGAGGAGACATTTGATGATGAGCCTATAAAACTTAACCATTCCCAGAAGCATTCGAACATACGTTCTTGTCCAGTGGACTCAACCATAGAAACGGAAAAATCTAATAATGAACCAATCAAGTTATTTGTCGGTCAGCTACCTCAGTGGATTGAAGAACAAGATATTCTGCCATTGTTTGAAGGATTTGGTCCAATTCATGAACTTGTCATCTTAAGAGATCGGTTCACAAAAACTCACAAGGGTAAGTAAGATCATTTATATTTATGTTTATAAATATATATACATATATATGTCCGTATGCCGTAGAATTTCCGTTGGCTAATTCGATGACGGAGGTAGAAAATTTTCTTGTCAAAGCAGACTACTCATAAGGTTGCTGAAAACTCTTTGTCAGACCACTATTTGTTTCGTCTATTTTGGAGCTAAACAGGTGGGTGCAATCCCCAAGTTCTCGTTGGCCTCATGTAACAGCAAATTGCGCGCGGTCTCCCGTCTGAAAGTATCTCGATGTTAGCGGAAGGCTCAACCGAATCTTCAACTTGACTGCGGCGAAAGATCGCCTTATATTCCAGTTAATACCATTTTTGAGTTATCACAGTACATTTTCTTCACAGAACACACCACTCATAAGGTTTCTGAGAGTATTCGGTTGAAGACTACCACAAAATAGTGATTCACTCGACTGTCCGGCTAACATCAGAAGGTAAGAACTGCTTTTCAGTCGCCCATTTCAATGCAACGAAAGTGCAGAGTTCAGAGTAATTGATGAAACTGAAATTCCCCTTGGGGAAATGCTTGACCGGCTAACATCCAAATCGGTCAACAGTGGTTAAATCACGCGCACAGTAGTTAAAAAATCTTTTTGCGAGAAGCAAAATGTGGCGTTTAGTGCAGGCCTCTGACCCCAATGAACTGAGGTCGGGGGACAAACACGCAGATACACCTTTACCTGTAGTATATTCTTTCGTAAGTCACTCAAATGACGGAGGAAAAGTTTGCTGTACGAACAATACAGGCCTCCATTCAATTTGGAAGCGGAAGATTAGCGATTTTCCGTACAAAAACGTTTGTGTTTGTATCGATTTTTCGTCGGTACATTAAAGACTGAACTGATCGGAATTCGAAATGGCCCTGATCCCCGAGATTACATCATTTGTGTTAACCTCTCCGTAAAGCAACTATATTTTATGCTGTGTGGGCACAAACAGCAGGGTTTTCTGAAGAACGCATCAGTCTAACCACATTATGTAGTAGTGATCAGGAGGCTGCAGGACTTTATGTGAATCAGTATTACCTAGTTTTATGCAAGTAGTTTGTCGACTAATCTTGGAAAAAAACAGGCCTATGTGTTTGCCATACATTAAACTTCTTAGGTAGTCGCTGCCAAAACCGTGTGCAAGTTAACTTTATCGCCATCAGAGATTACATTTAGATGTTGTTCTCCTTAGGTAATACATCTAACTTTCTTGTTGTAATCTTGGTGAAACGACATGTCAAAATTTGCGTTACATCCTTTCCTCACCATTCTTCTCACAAAACGCACCTTCCTAAGTGCCTGGGGTCTAACACACCCGTTCGCATACCAATTTGGTTTTAGCGGGAACCAAGCTGAACCTCTCAATTATGATACCGTATGAGCACCAGAAAATATGTTTGAAAAAGCAATATAATTCGGTATTTGAGTCGACCCAAGACTTTGTCTTGGGTCAATCGACTTAGGGCTTTAAAAAAACGGCCTGTCGCCAGCATAGAATATATCGAGCCTTCAACGCTATTAGTTCCTATCAAGCACAGAGCAGATCGACCACCCTGCCCAGCAAAGAAGAGATAAGTGCACTCAATGCTATATATATATATATATATATATATATGTATATGACGACCCACCATAATGACCACTCGATTTGGAGGTGGATGAGACCTTCTTAGGTTGTTTACCAGTTGAGATAGTGAGTTTATGTTTCTTGGCCAAAAATACTCCGTGGAACGTAAACAACTAGGGATTTTGTTTTCATTGCAATGGACAGAGCGGCAATTCGTGGTTAACTTCTGAGCCAAAGTGTACTCCGCGCCGAAGAGTGCCGAGGTATGTCGAAGGGTTCCATTTATTGATTTTGTTGGATGCATTCCACAAGGCATTGCTAGTTAGTAGTACCGTTATGACACTTCTGCAAGTGGACTAAGTGATAGTCTGAAGAAAAGTTTGTTTTCTGCGGCACGGGACAGTCGCACTTATGCAACTGAGGGTTAAAGTCAACTGGTCCGCTGCGCGCACTCTATCGACCCTGTCACACACTCCATTGAAAAACGCGCTCCAATATGCAACTGGTGCGAAACTGGTTCACTGCAATTATTGTGTGACCTCCGTTGTGAGGTTACCAAGGATCTCTTTCGGCTACCTGCTGGCTGGTAATAGTTTATGAACGATAGGCTGGCAGATTACACCCAATTTTGTCCAAAATATCAACTCACTTCCATGGGGCTTCTAGCATGGCGTTATTCACGCTTTATTTGCTTTATGATAGCTGTTATCTACGGAAAGACCACTGAGTTTCAGTCATAAAACTAACTTAGGTAGCCCTGGTCAAAAAATGAAGTATGGACCTATGGCCTCAATGCAGTCCCAAGCTAGAGATGGCTCAGGGATGGAGGCATGAACTTACTAAACGAAAAGTCCGTAGTTTGAACCTAACACCGGCATCTTGACCGCTCCTATCTAAAACTGGGGAGTGTGGCAGTATCTCAAACGCGCTTCATTCGAGCAGCGCGGAAGTTGGGCACCAAAAGAATGTTACAGTTGAACAATCATCATCAGTCATTGTCCGGCCCCAATGAAGAACGTGAGAGACCGACCAAAGACCAACGCTATCCAGAGCTATGGTAACGGAAGTAACCTATGTTTTTTAGCTGACTAAACGGACGGCGGTGCCAGTTACACAAGAGTTCCGGAGTGGCCTTGAGGAAAACTTGGCTCAATAGATCATGAAAGGCTCGATCAATTGTAGTGCTTGTTTTCCTGAAGGCCTCGACTATTCGAACTGAATTAGAAGTCGTATAAATGGGTTTCGTGATGTCTGCACTTCAACTTGGGTGTTCGTTTTCTAAATTCGAATTTACGTTGATGTATCTTCTTTTCAAGTGATTTTCCTGTGCTATAGCTGCAATCCATGAACCTCAGTGAACCTGAGTCAACAACATGTCCGTGTTCTGACAGCAGAGAGACAGAAAATCTGTTGCGCTGGGGTAGACATGGAGTCATTTGAATGATGCATTTACTCCGCTTACATCTTTCTGGAATTCTCTGGGGTTTTTAGTATGAGTTCCATGATTCGATTACCAGGATTTCAGAAGCCCCATTTATTTATTGAAATTATTCATTTTTAATGGTGGCGCCGGCAACTTGACGTCGAATGGGAACACTTCAGGAATAGCTCGTGAGAACTGTTGGTTATCGGAACTAGTTCAGCGAGTCTCCTGAAAACACGGGGTCAATCATTCTGTGAGACGGTCTTCCACGAATACAGCGCAGTAAACTGGCTGATGAAATTTCGACACCAAACTTAAGGAGGGTTTGAGACACAATGAAGTATACTGCAGCTCACTGTTCATTTCTTCGAATTCGTTCGTATTCGCAAGAGGACTTATTATGAAAGGGCTAACTGTTCAAAGCGATCTTACCTTACTTCTACGATAGGCCCCAAGAAGAGAGAAACCGGTTGTAGGCCGCCGAACAGCTTTCAGCAATCTTGCGAGTAGCTTTCTTTATGAGATTTATTGTCATGCCAGCTCAAAAAGGACAGAACGAATGTGGGCGAAAATAACCCAAGCACGTCGAGAATTCCTTAGGCCACTTATCTGACAACTTTGCTGTTTGGTGATTGTTATTGAACACAGGCTTCTTGTTTCTCCAGCCTTTTGGGGGTTTGGAGGTTCCAGTCATGTGATCAGAAGGTTGTTAGCCGCAGATGAATACAGTACTGAACAGTAGTTTGCTGGACAAGCAGATTCCGACCAAATGCCAGTGTTAATAAAAAAACACAATTTTCAATGCAACTGATTGTAACATATAGGCAAGCAAGACACACAGGGCCGCGAGAGGCTCACTTTCCCAAGCACATCATTCTTTTCGATATGGAATGGGGCAACAGTTTGCTTTTCGAGTTAGCCAGAACTCGGAGATCATTACTCTTCACAAGCCTAAAATTCCTATTCAGTGCAACACTTCTGGGCCTCTACGAGATGATTGGTGAATCAGAACACCTTGGATATACAGTGGAGTCTTCGGGTAACACATTCCTCCCAGTAGACCTGTTTGGCTGTAAATCTCCGATAAAGGATATTCAGTCACCGAAAACCCGTAGGGTCACCGGAGACAAGCGTGCTGGGTCCCGAAAATTTTGCCACTGATAAGTGAGGCATGTTCCTTAGTCTTTAAGGCAAAACGACACAAGGAGAAATATTGGCAAATTTTAGGACAGGAAGACTGTAGCGCACATGAGGAAAAGACACATATACACGAGGATGTACCACTTGGAAGGATAATAAATTCTCATTAGGGAGAAAAAATTGATTCACTAATGAATGTCCCTGAAATTAGCAAACAACCAAGAGAGGAAAGGGTAGTTTTCCTGTGCATAAGTGAACGCTGGTTCTGCGTGAAAGGGATTGTTGAAGACAGCTGCTCAGGTCAAGGTATCCAGAGTAAGGAAAATTGACAGCAAATTCTGTGGAAATTTTTTTACAGGATTTAGATTTTTATCGACCCAGTACCATAAAAGGCAATTTGCCAGAAACTGGCAACGAATTACTTCACCTTTTATGACAATGGAGTTCCTTTACAAGAATCCCTTGAAAGACGCAGGTGAGCGATACAAAATGACGAGTCATTTGATGAAAACCACACATTTTCGGATAACTGGAAACCGTTGTTCGTGGGGGTAACTACTCATGAGGTTTCTGAAGGCCGTTTGACAGCCCACGGCCGGTTTTGTCTTCGTTGGTGACCATCCTAAAAGAGAGATTTTGTTGAGAAATATATCGGCCTTCTTGAAAACTAAATTGATGTGCAGATTGACGTATTGCGCGAAATTCGTGCCAACTGGGTTGGAGTAGAGAGTTAGGTTGTCGGAAACTGGGGGACAAAATGGGTTTCCGGCGATCTTAGGAATAGTGTTACGTGTGTAAAATGTACTGCGATATCTCTTATTTCGTGTCAAATGAAGCATGAGGCGGCCTGGTGCAGCACATTC